TCTTCATAGAGTCCAGCTTCTCAGATTATTTGTTCAGCATTCAGGTTAAATAAGTAAGGTGAAAGGATACAACCCTGCCACCCACCGTTTTCAATTCTGAACCACACAGTATCCTCTTGCTCTGTTCAAACATCTGCCTCTTGATCCATGTACAATTAACTGTTCTGAATTCCCATTCTTTGTAATATTATCCGTAACTTTTTATGATCCACATAGTCGAATGCCTTTGCATAGTGAATAAAACACAGGTAAACAACTTTCTGGTATTCTCTGCTTTCAGCCAAGATCCATCTGGCATCAGCAATTATAACCCTTGTTCAATGTCCTCTTCTGAATCTGGCTGAACTTCTGGCAGTTGCAGGTCAATTTACAGCTGCAGTTGTTTTTAATTATCTTCAGCAAAACTTTGCTTGTATGTGATATTAATGATATTGGCCAATAATTTCCACATCCAGTTTGATTCCCTTTCTTTGAAATGGGCACGAGTATGGATTTCTCCCAGGTAGCCAGGTTTCTCAACACAGACAAGTAAGTGCTTCCAGTGTTGCATTTGTTTGGGGAGTGTTAGTAGTTGATAAAATTCTTACATGGTAACGTAGACAGAGTAGGTCACTAAAGAAATTCAGAGGTATCCAGAACATGGCCTTCTGATTAGTCATTTGAATGTTCTCTGAATTGTAATCAAGGAGAAAACTGTTCTTTAAATAGTACTTTACTGGGTATGGTTTTTAATGTGATAGTAATTCAGAACAGAATTTATTTTTCACCTTTGTAGTGAATTTTTAAGAGAACAAAGGGCAATGGCTTAGATTGAAATGAGCTCTTGGCTTTGTGACCAGGCATCTCTTTTGCCACGTCACCCTCTCTCAGTCAGGGACCTCTGGCCATGCACTGAGGCATTACTGGAGCATTTGGTTCACATTTTAATGGGCCTTACTGCATGAGGAGAACCTTAAAAGCATTTTGATGTCTAATTTGTAAATGCTCTTTTTTATAGAAAGCAACCAGCATTGAAGCCCTAAGAGTGTTAGGTAAGAAAAGGTCAGATGATACTGCTCCCGATTGCCCCTGCTAGTAGACCTCACAATCTGCCCCTGTAAAGATTACAGCCTGGGAAACCCTATGGAGCAGTTCTGCTCTGTCACTGGGGTCGCTATGAGTTAAAATCAACTCAACAGCACCTAGTAACAACAGCAGCAACAGTAGTTATACTAATAAATTCAGTTAAGATTCAGGAACTCCATTTTTTAAGGCTGCTAAGAGAGATGATTTTCATAGCCAGTAAGTTCCTTGGTTGTTTCTGAACGCTGCCAGGGTTAATGGGGATGTTTGTTTTCTCTGTCATAGTGTTTACATGCCCTGGCTTGGACCACGAGTGAAAATGAGTGAGGATCTCCTGGTCTCACCCCAGTTCCTAATTGGGTGTTTGTCTAAATGACAACACCCAGTTTTGCGCTGCTAATACTCGGGCAGTGGAAGCTTGGGACCAGCCTGGGGGGTGGAGGGTGTGTGCTACGTGTGACAGTCAAGAGGCATGAGTGACAAGATGGGAAGCCTTCTATGAAGCAGACACTTCCTCCTCGCACATCCAGATCTCAAAGCACTGTTTTCTCCTCTCTGTCTCCCGTGGTGCAATATGTTTAAGAGTCAGACCATAAATATTCATTAAGTCACAGAATCTCAAAACTTGATTAATACCCCCTCTAAACGTAGTACTGGACTTTGCTCTCGGCCTTGACAGCGATACGTTTATGACAATTGGAGAGCATCATCCAGGATGAAGATGACAGGTTGCTGTCTGGGGTCAATTGATATGGTGTTATACACGGCTTCCATCTGTAGGCTTGGCTGTGAGCTCGATTAACATAGCAAGCCACTCTTCCAGATACGTGTCTGCAACAGAGCATTTAGCGAAATGCGTATGCATTTCTGCTTTGTTCGCCATTGTCCTGAGTATGTGGATGTGTTGGACACAGTGGTGCTTTCAGGAAACACCAGGACAATACTGGGGAAAGCGTGACAGGTCTTTAGAGGGATGCGCCTGCTCTCGCCCAGGCCGGCAAGCAGACTGGGCTGTAAGGGGAGCCATGAATTGAGTGCTGACGGCCGGCCACGCAGTCCAGAGGCTCAGGTGGTTGTCAGCCCTAAGTTTAGCTCAGCTCTTTGAGTAATTTGTCACGCCTCGCTCGGCCCCTGCTGGGCCAGCACGTGCCAGCTTAGTGTCAAAGTGCCTGCTCGCCAGACATCCACTCAGGCCTAACGTCCTGCTGTTCCCCAACCAGCGGCTTGCTGGGGCCATGCGCGGAGGGCCGGGCCACGGCGACGGCCAAGTGCTGTGCAGAATAAGCGTGTTCGTAATGAGATGTGAATGGCATTAGTGGGACCCTCTAGAATTGGGCCTGAGCAGGCACCTCTTGCAGAGAGAGTTGGGCAGCTCATTCATGAAGGCGAGTCACCAGGAGTACAGCACAGTCAAGAAGCCAGTTCAGAGTCATGCTGCCCAGGCCTTGAGCTATTGGGATCGTCCACATGAAAGATCATAAGTCAGCAGAGGGGCCACTTTTGAAATCTCCACACTTACCTTCCTTTAGAGAAATTCTGGACTAGCACTGTCTAACAGAGCTTTCTGGGATGATGGGAATGTTCTACATCTGTGTAGTCCAGGAGGGTAACCCCTCGCCACGTGGTTATCTGGTGCTTGAAATATCGGCCGTGGGAGGGAGGAACTGCATTTTTTATTTTAATTAGTTTTTAATTTAAACAGCTACATGTGGCTCATGGCCACCTCCTGGACAGCACAGTCCCAGAATGCCTCTGTCTCCTCATGGCATAAAAAATCATCCTCTGACTATAATGAAAGGAGTAGGGTAAAGAGGGGCCAGCATTTAGAAGTCGGTGTATATACTGTGCCAAAAGGAAATAGAAAACTATTTTCCTATTTTAAAACACACTGTGCTTCGTTGAGGGGCCCTGGTAGTGCAGTGGTAAAGAGCTTGGCTGATAACCAAAAGGTCAGCAGTTCAAATCCACCGGCCTCTCCTTGGAAACACTATGTGGCCGTTCTACTCTTTCCTGTAGGGTCACTATCAATTCGATGGCAATGGGTTTTGGTGCTCTACTGAAAGCTGATTGTAAGGGCATAATTGTCACCAATTTTTATTTATATATGTATGTATGTGTGTCTATATATATATTATTGTTGTAGTTGAGAATATCCACAGAAAACATACACCAATTCAATAGTTTCTACATGTACAATTCAGTGACAATGAGTTACTTTTGTCGAGTTGTGTAACCATTCTCACCCTCTTTTTCTGAGTTGTTCCTCCCTAATTAGCATAAACTCACTGCCCCCTCAGGTTCCTATCTGATCTTTCGAGTTGCTGTTGTCAATTTGATCTCCCATATTGATAGTTCTTAAAAGAGTTCAAGGCAGACATTTTTTACTAGTTAAACTAAACTGTTGTTTGGTTTTAAGAAGACTTCAGGAAATATTTCTGCTTTAAGGTTTAAAGATTATCTCAGGGCAATAGTTATAGGGGGGTTCATCCAGCCTTCATGGCTCCAGAAAGTCTGGAGTCCATGAGAATTTGAAATTCTGCTCTGCATTTTACCCCCTTTTGATATCAGGATTCTTCTATAGACTCTTCAGTCAAAATATTCAGTAATGGTAGCCCAGCACCATCAAGTTCTTCTTGTCTCATGGCAGAGGAGGCAGTTGTTCATGGAGACAATTGGCCACACATTCCATTTCCTCCTCCTATTCCTGAGTTTCCTTCTTCCTCTGTTGCTCCAGGCAAATAGAGACCAATTGTTGTGCCTTGGATGGCAGCTTGCAAGCTTTTAAGACCTCAGGAGGTAGAACAGAACTGACTTATATTTTAAAAGAGACTATTTTGCACATAGTTTTAAAGTATAGTGAGAAATGCTAGAATTACTTTTCCTCTTCTGGAGCTGCAAATAATAATTTGATGATGATCAATGTACCCTCTGTTCCTGAAGAATTAGCAGGTTTTCCAAAATGCTTAAAACATGTTTTTTAACTTTTGCATGAATAATGAGGAAGAGGGAAATGAGATGTCATGCTGACTTCTCCAAGTGTTAATTCATAAAGTCGTGTATGCAGTGCCTCCATCCGCTACTGAATTGTTCTGACGTTATCCTGTTATTGGAAGTGCATGATTCACCTTCTGAGGAGGCAGAAGCTATACACAAAGGGGAAGATTTGCTTTATGCCCTGTGAAAGGCTGCCTATTAAGACAGCTGGAAAGTTGCTTCAGTGCGTTCCGCTTGTAAGTTTTATTGGTGACTGGTTTTTGATTACACATTTGAATGCTGTGTGTTCCAGACTGCAGTTTTAATTAAAAGGCAATAGACTTTTTTTTTTATCCCATTGTGCACTCTTTGCTAGATTCTCCCACGTATTAGTTCTTATTTTCTAATGCTCATAACTTATCTTGGTTAGAAGCTCTGATGCCTGTCAGAATGTATATTCCTGACCTTCTTTCTTCCCAGTATCATGCATTTTCTTATTTTTTAAATGTGTGCATAGTTGTGTCACCAGTTCCTACTTGCAGTATCAATTCATTATGTCAGCAGGCTGCAGATGTTTTATCCAGTGAAAGGAGAAAGGAAGGTCCAACAATGGACCACTATTGTCAACTGCAAGACCTGCAATTGCAGTGTCTCCATTTTTGTTTGTTTATTTAAATCAGTCTTAACGGTCTCTTGACATTATCGTGTAACTGTCGGTTTACTTATTTTCTTAATGATAACCAGTGTTGAGTGCAATTGAAGTCCAAGAGAAACGTAGATCTCAAAGTTAGAATTTTGTTATTATGACCAATACTTAATTTTCTGAGGATGCTAGAGAACTTGCAAGATAACTTTTCTTCACACAAAACGTAAAAGTTGCATAACTGTTTTAAAACAAAATGAACCACACCATTGTTTGCGTGTCATTCTGCACGTGCGTTTGTTTCCTTAACTGATTACTGCAGCTACGAAGAGCGAGCCCTGTACCTGGAAGCAATAATTCAGAATCACCGCGAAGTAATGACGTTTGAGGATTTCGCAGCCCAAGTATTTTCTCCCTCTTCCAGCTACTCCCTCAGTGGAACGGGTGAGTGTCTACATTATTCTTCCCTCACGCGCTTAAGACTCATTCGAGCAGCAGATGTACACCTGTTTTTCACAGATAAATGCTTGCAAATTTAACAAGAACATTCTCCCTCTGAATCAACTAATGAATATCAAAAGGAACGATGACATTCATTTTAATTTGTTTTGCATCTGAGCTGTTCACTCAGTTCTTTTCTTCAGCTATCCTGTTAACCTCCGAATCTAGCAAGGTTAATGAACTTTTTCTCAGTAATGTGCTCTGGTTCATTCAGGAGTGTGGGTTTCTTGCTGAGCTGGGAATATGTTGTTTAAAAGCGATGCCCAAACCAGTGCTTACTTATCAAAAAAGAGTTCCTCACAGTCGAAGCAGTTGCTACTAATGCTAAATGGGGATTATGCTGCCAAGATACCAGGGTCAAGGATTAATGCCGGAGAAATGTAAGCACGCTGTCCCCCGGTCAGTCATTACAGCAGGGCGGTGGGCCCGCGTTCTCTCTGGAGTGGTCTGTGTGCATACAGACAAACCGCTGACCGCCCCAGCACCTGGTGTGGAACCAGCTGAGACGCTGGTTTATGATTATTTTAATTTATTCGGCCAATGGAAAATTTCAGAAATGTTCATAAATGTCTTTGTTTTTAGACTTTTACTTTTTTTATAATTGGAATTTGGGAAAGAAAAAAAAAGAATATTCGTACTGCTATTTAAACTGATGATATTACTACTGTGGTTTTGTTTTGTTTTTCCCAAAGAACAGAATTATTACTTGTAAATTTCTTCTTGTAATTACAGATTAATTGCCTTTCAGAAAGTAAATGGGATATTTAGTTAATGCAGGTTGAAATTCTCAATGAGGGGCTTCCTTCTCCTTCCCCTGGTGCTTAATAGATTTCTAACCTGTGTCAATTGTCTCTGAACGCCGCTTTTCTTCTCCTGTTCTGACTTGTTAACAAATATCTTACACACAAAGTGAAAAAAAAATTAAATTCAGTGAAATAAATCACTTACAAATAAAATCAGCCATGCATCATTGTTTAACATCGCTGGCTTCAATCCTTGCCTCTTGGAGCTTTGTTGGGAGATAAGAGGGAGATGCAGGCACTTGTACAGGGAGCCAGGAGCAGCCGGCAGAAGGCTCGGGAGATAAGCAAGCTGGCAGAGGTAAGGGGAGCCACACGATTTACATAATCACGCCTCTGCTTCCTGGTGAGGCGTCAAGAAACACGGGGATGGCCTCTATTGATCTTTGTTGGACTGGAATACTAAACAACTCGAGAAAAGCTTATAACTTAAAGCTTTGAATAATGTTTCTTACATTAAAAAAGTAGAACAGCTGTGAATTGAATTCTTTTATATACTCTGCCAACATTTTAAGACCAAAAAAAAATCAGTTTCAAGGGAAATGAAGAGTCCATACGCAGTCTTGCTAGAGGTTTAAAATCGTTTCTGATTTTTAGGTGAAAGGACATGAAGGATCTGAGGCCAAGCTAATTTTTTTTAAGATCCCATTGAGCTTTTTCTCATCCTTGTGAGGTATTGGGACTTGATATTTAAATGGAGTTTGTTTTGGTTTGTTTTTTTAACTTTGAGGAAGCTTTTCATTTCTTACATTTTTTTTTTAGAAAATTTAACAGATGTTTACATTCCTTAAGTCAACTGTTACATTCTTCGGGTTCTTGATTAAGATGTTATTGGAACAAGTATTGGTGAAGTTTATTTCCTATGTATATTTTAGATTTCTACAAATGAATTTGATCTCTTCCAAAAGTTCATATTTATTTAAACAAATTCAAATGAGTCCATGTGTAGGTAACATCTTAAGTGGGATTGGATGAGTAATTCGAGTTTGGAGACCCACTGCTCGGAGAGGATGTTACCAGGCGTCTTCGAGAACGTCACATTTACAAAGCTGCTTAACGGAATGAAGATTCCGACAGCATGAAGATGGTGGACACTGGAACCTTTACAAAAGGAACATTAAGCTATATGTGGGATAGCAAAACAAATGCTGGCTCTTCCTCTTCACTAATTATTGACATCAGTCTTACATTTCATAATGTTATGGCTTAGGGCGTTAGGTGTTGAGTGACAAAAATGTTTTATACACACATCACCAATACGAAAGTGTGATTTTAAGTCTGAGCATAATGTTCTATATTAACACTTGCATATCTGCCATAACAATTATTAGAAAGGAGCTAGAAATGAACTTGACTTAGACTGAAATTTGAGGGCAGTACAGTGAGGAGCCCTGGTGGTGCAGTGGTTAAGTGCTTGTCTGCTAAACGGAAGGTCAGCAGTTCGAACTCACCAGCCACTCCGCGGAAGATTACCGCCTTGGAAACACTATGGGGCAGCTCTACTCTGTCCTGTAGGGTTGCTATGAGTCAGAATCGACTCGACAGCACAGGTTTACAATGAGGATAGAGCATTTCAGCACTGTATACAGGCACATTTTCAGAGTCACATCCTTGTCTCATTTACGTACTGGTTTTGCTTTCCAGGAATCTTTATCCTGGTCTGTTATTTTTTCATAGTATTTTTTATTTACCTGAGACAAGTACACTCAAGCCCACATAAGCTGGTCAAGAAATTGAGGCTAAGTCTGCTCTTCCAAGCAACAAGCCAACTGGAAAAATTGACCCTGAGCAGCTTAAACTCCCACTGTGCGCATAGGAACCGATCAGACTATCTCTGGCCATCACAGTCATCAAAGCAGGGCCCTGGGCTCCCTCGTCACATTCACATGCAAGATCTGAGGAATTAGGGGCTCTGAGATTTGCTTTGTATCCTTAAAGGAGCCTTATCATTCATGCAGAAGGAGAGCTAACCTTAGCTCTGTATTCGACCACACTGGGATTGTAGCAGCAAGCCAGGATGCAGCCTGCAGCCCCCAAGTCTGAGAGGGAGGATCCCTGATAGCAGCTAGCTGTTCATTGCTAGCTCTAAGTAAGAGATGTGATAAGTGGATGTGGCTGTGCCCAGAGATGCCACTGTTGGAACGTACCCTCTGCCACAGGCTCTCTACCCGCGTGCCATTGTTGCCTACCCAAGGCAGCCATCAGGGGCAGGTTGGTCAAGCAAACGCCCTTCCATCATGATGCACTGTCAACCCCAGATGACGATGCAGGGCCTTTTGTTATTAGGCTAATGTGTGGGGCACTTCGCTTTTTAAAAAGAGCTTTTAAAACAAAAAAGAGATCTATTTTCCCAGTCAGAAAATGTTATTTCAAAACACCGTCTACTTTATATCTATTCCATCTGTTACTTGTATCCGTAATTCCCGGAACAGAATAGGTATTTGAACTGCTTTTTTACCTAGCCCAGTAGTTTACCTTCCTTTGTTGACCAGCAATATCTAAAAGGTAACCAGTGTTAAAATACTGGCTGCACTTATATATGTATAGATGCGTGTGTGTGCGCGCAGGTGGGGGGGGGGGGACTAAATTTGTATGTTCAAGCATGTTACTAGGGGAAGGAGGCCACAGGGAGGACTTTAAAGGGTTAACTGTTGTGGGCACCCTCGACTGCTGGGAGGGACTGATGTAATCACTGCAGCTCACAGCCAAGTGCATCTGTTCACCGTGAGGTCATTCTTCTGCATACTAATGATTTGGAAAATCAAGTCTAATGTTTGACATTATCAGAAGGGATATAAATAGTATAAATCTTTACTTTCTGGAAGCTGTGCTTATAGAGCAAAAAAAGAAACTTAGCTAGACTAGAGATTTTCCAGAACTGCTTTAAAGATTGTGTGTGAACTTTTAAAACCTTGGTGGAATCCACTTGTGTCTGTTGATAAGTGAATCCCATAATTACTATTACAGCCAGAGCTAGCAATCTGGTAGTCAAGAACTATAGGTATGTCTAATTTAATATCTAATTTTAGGAATTTGCAAGTACCTTGGTGTGAAGTTGATGGGTTTTTGTTTTGCTTTTTTTCCCCAAAGAATGTCTAAAACCAAGTTCAATGAGTGGTATACCTAATTTGACCTCATTTGCTAAAGATGCCAACACTGTTTAGGTTCTCTTCTACTTTAATGTTGCTACGGAGAGCCAGCAGAGGGAGCACAAATCTGTGTTTGTTTGTTAGCCCTACGTAAACACAGCACTCGATTCCTCCCAGCTATGGTCAGAGATGCTTCCTCCGTCCTGCAGGCTGGCCTGTAAAGGCCCCAGTGGGAGACATCCTCACTAGGCTCCCTCAGATTGCACCACTGTTAATGTGGGCAGATTGGGAGCCCAAACCAGAGTAGCCTCAGTCAGTTTTAGGATGTTGCTGTTGATGATTCTGTTTTATGAAATTACAAACTTTCATCTTTCATGCTCAGAAATTGTGTGGATGCCCGTTTGGAAAGGATTATTATACTCACCTACCTAACAGAAAAGACTTTTATAATATTTTAACAACAGAGTCATCACAGAAACTTTACCAAAGACCCTGTCTGGTGTCACTGGCTCATTCTAGCGGCCAATAATTATGCTTATAAAACTGCAGACAGAAGGTAAACATGCCCCAGTAAGAATTTTTCATTGGCTATTTCACTGGGCAGCTAGTAATCAAGTTAATCCCCAGAAACAGCACAAGGTAAGCCCTGACCCTAACCCGGAAACGATCTTCTCCGCTCCTTGAAAGGGCAGTCATGTTAAAGATGGATCCTCTCTCTGTTGAAGTGGTCAGTTAGGGTTTGGATTGGCAGCACTACTTACATGTGCAGCTTCCTCATAACTCTGCTGAAACCGGCATGGAACATTATAGAATGGAGAGGTAGAAGGAGCCTTAGAAAATACCAGGTCTCACCCCTTCACATTATTTCTGAGTAAGCAGAAGGCCAAGCCCTGAAGGGACAGCCAAAGGCCGTCAGCAGCCCTCCCTCCTCATTCCACAATCTCTTCTCTTCCACAGAGTGGAATCAGTGCTGGTTCAGTGCCTTGTTCAAGACTCAAACAGTCACCAGCTTCCCTTACTTGGTAAGCTGTCATCAAACATTGCTCACAGAGTG